CCCCAGAACTCACCCCTCCCCCAGATCTCACCCCTCACCCAGAATTCACCCCCTCCCCTAGACCTCACCCCTCCCTCAGACTCTCTTGCCCACCATTCATTCTGAGCCTGGGCACTGTCAGCACTCAGCCCATTGAAGGCCCTGCTGGGCAGACACTGCCCTTGCTGGGCCCTGCCTGGCCAAGCTGCCACACCACCTGCCGCAGGGTGACAGGAGTGGGGAACCTTGGGGTCCTTCTACCTCCATATCTCAGCCTGGTCACCTCAGGCCACACCCCTGGCATCTGCTTCCTTTCTGTACAGTGGAGCTTGGGGTCCTGCAGGGGAGAGCTGGACCCTGGCAGGCGGAGTAGACATCTGCCCCACTCTCCAGAGGAAACCTCAGGATGGGGGTGGCTTGTCCAAGGTCCCACAGGGGGCAAGAGGTGGAGGTGACATTTGAACCCAGGCTGTTCCCCCTCCCAGGGTTCAGCATAGCCAGGCGCTGGGGCCACATCTGGAGAAGGAGCCAGGAAGGGCTGAGGCAGCTGGGCACGGCTCTCCACATCCCGGGTTAACCATCCACCGGGCGGCTGAGCAAGCGGCCAAAGTCCCTTCCTGGGGAACTGGGACCACACGCCCACTCTCGGCCACAGAGAGACACAGAAGAAACAGATCCAGACAAAAGGGATGGAGGGGCGGCTGGTGGTCACGCGGGCCTGTAATCCCTGCTCTCTGGAAGGCTGAGGCAGGGTGGTCGCATGTTCGAGCCCAATCTGGGCTATTTATTTATTTACTTATTTATTTTATTTATTTATTTTTGTCTTTTTGGGACAGGATCCCCCTATGCAGCTCAGGCTGGTCTTGAGCTCACTTTGTAGGCTGGTCTCCAACTCACAATGACCCTCCTGCCTCAACCTCCCACATTACAAGCGTGCGCCACCACACCCGGCCAGTCTGGGCAATTTAGCAACTTAGCAAGACCTTGTTTCAAAATAAAAAATAAAAGAGGGGCTGGGGATGCAGCTCAGCGCAAAGGCCCTGGGCTCCACCTCCAGTACTACACCAAGGGGGGGACGGGACAAGAGGGAAGTTGGGGATGGAGGGACAGACTGGTAGAGACCGAGGGACACCGAGACAGGGACCCAGAGACTCCCTGCGTGCCCCCCGGGCAGGTCTGGAGTGCAGTTCCCACTCCTGCGGCCCCCTGGGTCCCCAGAGCCTCCCCTCCTCCTCCTGTGACTCAGTGACCCGGACTCAACCCCTGCCGCGGCCCCGCCCCCAGGGAAATCCGGGAAAGCCCCGCGCGGCTGCGGCCCCGCCTCGGGGCGGGGACGGGAGGGTGGGGACGGGGCGGGTGCGGCTGAGTCACCTCCCCGGGCCGCCGGGCCTATTCCCCACCCAGGCAGCGCCTGGGCCGACGAGGGAAGCGCGGGAGGGGGGTCAGCCCCCACCCCACCCCCACGCCTGCTGCTCCTCCGCGCCTCCTGCCACCGCGGTGTCCCTGCCTTGTCCCTCGCGATCTCTGCAGCTCTGTACCCCATCTCTTTCCTTCTGTGCACCCGGGGCTCCCCCAGCACCACCCTGTGCCCTGCAGGCAGACACAGGCAGGACTTCTTTGAGTGCACCCCTGCCCGCCCCCGACCCCGGCTGATGGGGCGCAGGGAGGAAGCGGAAAGGAGGCGAGCGGGGGGCAGAGGGTTCCCTGCCCTGGGTGAGCCGCTTCATTCCCACAATCCCAGCACCCAGGAGGCCGAGGCAGGAGGGTTGCCACCAGTTCGAGGCCAGCCAGGACTACACAGCAAGACTCTGTCTCAAAAAACCATAAAAGAAGGAAGCGGCTCCGAGAGGGGAAGTGCCCGGTCAAGGTCACCTAGGGAGGAAGTGGGAATAGTAATTCAAACCCTTGTCCTAGCTGCCCCAGGGCCTCCAGGAATTGGGGAGGGGGAGGGGAGGAAGGAGAAACAGCGAGTGAGGGAGAGATAGACACCTAGAGACCACAGAGAGACAGACGGAGACGAGACGCGGGGACCGAAGGGGTGGCACCCTGACACCTGCATTCGCTCCAGCCAGACCCACAGCCCTCGACTCGAGCGCAGCCGGCGGGGCGGGCCGGGCCTGGCTCCTCCCCGGGACCCGGGCGCGGCGGCTCC